AAAATGAAAATAATAAAGTTTCTATTTTTTGAATTAAAAATAAATTAATCTTAATAATAATAATAAAGAGAAAAATACTTTGAAATAAACTCAATATTAAAAATAAAATAAATTTCTTACGAAAATAATTAAAATATTTATAATTTTTTTTTTAATAGAATAATAAAAAATAAATTAAAACAACACGAAAATAACTATAAAACTAAATTCATAAATAACTTCCAGATAAATGAAAATTAAAATTCACTAAGAAAATAATTAAAAGATTTTTATATTAAAAAAAATTAAATCAATAATAATTTAAAATTCAATACGGAGAAAATTAAAAATTAAAAACTTATAACTTATCTCCAATCAAAAATAAAGAAAATAAGTATAGAGTTTACATTTTTTAATAAGACGTTTACAATTCAATACGAAAATAATTATTATTACAAAAAAATTAAAAGAATAACATTTTTCATAAGAAAAGAGTTAAAAGGTTTATATTACTAAATAATCTCCATATTACTAAAAAATTAAAATTTAATAAGAAATTAGTTAAGATATATTAATTAAAAAAACTTTAAATTAACATATATTTAAAATTTAATACAAAAATAATTAAAAATCTAAAATTTATAAATAATGTCGAATTTAATAATAAATTAAAGAAGTTTGAAAAATTACGATATTAATATTTTTCATATGAGAATTAAAAAATTTATATTTTTAAATAATAATGAAATTAAAAAATAAAATAAAATTTAATTTACATTTTAATAAAATTTTCTTTTTAATCAGGAAATTGTTTAAAATAAGCACATAACAACGTAGAAAAAACAAAATACAAATTAAAAAATTTTAAAGTACAAAATAAAAGGCACCGAAAAATATAAAGAAAATATATCAACTTTTAAAAAAGCAGTTGCTTAAATTTTATATATAAAAATAAAATGATTACAAAAAAAAATAATAATCGTTTTTATAAAAAAATCAATAGTTAAAGGAAATTAAAAATTAACAGAAAAAAGCAATAAATTGCTAATAAAATCCAAAAGATTTCCTTTTTATAAACTGAAATATAAAAAAAAAAAAAAGTCAATTTCAGTTCAACATTAAAAAAATTAAAAAATGAACAAAAATGTTTAAAAATTACAAATTCACCGAAAACTAAATAATTATTATAAATTAAAAAAAATGTTTTGTACACTCCAACTTGTTTTCTCTAAAAAATGAAAGGAATATAAAAAAATATTATATTTATACGAGATATAAAAAAGTATTTAATTGGCTTTTTAGAAAAAAGTAAATTTAACTGTAAAGAAAAAATATTCTCACTATAAACTATGGGAACCAACCAATAAAATAGTAATAATAATACATTATACGGATTTGCTATAATATTAATTTTTTAGCACGTGTAAAGTAAAAGTAATTTAATGATAACCTCTTTTTAAGTATAGACAAAATTTCTTTATTAAATTATCTTATAAAATAACCAACACTTTTAAGCTAAAAAAATAATTAAAATAAAAAAGCAAAAAATATTTTAAGAAACTTCAAATTAACACTAAATAATTTTTTATAATTTCATTACTTTTTTTGAAAAAGGTCAACTTTTAGAATTAAAAATACGCATATATTTTAATGAGGTTTTTTTTTGTTATTATAATAAAAACTTTACAAACAAAAAAAAAGTTATGAATAAAACTTTTAACAAAAATAATTAAAGGGAAAAAAAAATTTACCCCAGCAATATTTATATTGCGCACAACTTTTTTTATGATATCCACAGCATCCTCGTGAGTTGGAAAAGGCAATTCAAGAATTTTCTCGAGACGTCCTTTTAAATATTTTATAGAAAAAAATAATAATAATGAATACTACAAATAATAAAAATAAAGTTATAGAAAATGAATATACGAAATACTCAAAAGTAATTTTTTATATATAGTAAAGTATAACAAGTCCGGTACAACTCAGGCTTAATATAGTGCAACCACTGGTCCCAATTTATAATAAGAGAACGTTAAAATGCTAGCAAACGTGAAGACCAAAAAAAGAAGGCGTAAGTGAGCTGATTAATATTTTTACTGCTAAAAAATTTTATGCATGGGTGGTAATATGCCAAGTGGATGTGTTAAACAAATTTATGCTACTAAGAAAACGATATGAAGTCGACCACGTGGCCTTAGGGGTTATAAGAAAGTTAATATTCGTAAAAATGTGTGAAATAAAGATCATGAAAATAGTGGGCGTATACATGGAACACTACTAAAAACGATATGCTGTAGACCACGTGGCCCGTGAACATAAAATATTTTCACGGCTAAACAAAGGCCACGTGGCGTACGAGCCACGCAAGAATAAAGTTCGCGTGATGGCAGTCAAACATAATAAAACGAGGTTCCATAAGTCACGTAATCTTTGCCTTCCCGAGAAAAAACACGCGCTAACCAGGACGGATGATGGCCGGATCTAGTTCGCTTATACTTCGATTGGTTGCGCCTAAAATGAATACACCTTTCCGTTCTTCAATGCCGTCCATCTTAATATTAAAAAGTAGTATAGAAAAACTTTATATAAACATTCAAAGCCCAGTAAAAGTAGCTTAATAATATACAAAATTTTTAAGTATTTTTTTATTAATTGTTATATTTTCTTTTATTTTTTATACTAACTTTTCCTATTTTCTTAGTAGTATTTATTATTTTTGTAACCTTTAAGTCTTTTTGTTAAGTTTTAATAATATTATAAATATATTAAAATAAATAAAGAAAAAGTTTATATAATATAAGAATATATATATTAAAGAAATTCATATATAAATTTATTTTTTCAAAATACAAAATTTTTATTAAAAAATTATTTAAAGAATTTTTTATATAAAAAAATAATTAAAGTTTATAAATATATAAAGATACGAAAGAAATTGATTAATATATTAATAGAAAATAAACATATAATAATATAAATGAAATAACTTATTAAATTTATTAAAGGTTTTAAAAATAATTATAAATATATATATAAAAAGTTTTGATAGCATAATAAATATAATTTATTTTTATAATACTCAAGAAAAATAACAATTATAATGAAATAAAAATAAATAAGGAGAAAAAATAATATATGAAAAAAGTTTTTAAATAAATAATTAATAAATAAAATAGTAAAAGGAATAAATAAATATAAACTTTTTATAATATTATATTAAAAATAATAAATAAAAGGTTTACACATTTTAAAAAGGTATAAAAAAAGCAATCAACTTAAAAAAATCTACAAGTATTATATAGAAAAATTTTACATTTAAGTATTTAAAACTTGATAATAAAATTTTTAAAATTATTAAAAGTTTTTAAAAATATTTTTAGAAATACATGAAAAAAGTTTTTAAAAATTTGTAAAAATATATATTAATTTTTTTATATATTTAAAACAACAATTAAATAGATTATTTAAAAAAAGTAATAAAAAGTGTTTATAGAAAAATATTATATTTTTAAGTATTTCTAATAATATAATAACTTTTAAAAGTTATTACAAGCTTATAAATATTTTTAATATAAAAGTTATTAATAATTAGTAAAAGTGTTAAAAATTTAGGACTGAACTATCTATGCTTCTAAATTCACAGTTTAACAGCTTATCTGCCCAGAGACCGTTATGTACTAATTACCGTTTAAAAAAAAAACAATCAAAATAAGCTATTAAGTAGCAGAGTACAATTCCAAAAACTTCTTTGCCTTATTATAAGAATCTTATCCTACATATATATACAAGTATTAGGATCAAATAGATTCTTATAATTGTTATTTTCCTGTAAGACCTCTAAGTTAAACCACCCAGTTTCTTATATGAGGTCATTGGTCTCTTATTCCCGTAGTTTATTAAAGCAGCCCCAAAGGTAGTTTTATCTCGCTGAGCTCAACAAGACGCCATAGTTGGTTGTTATTTTAAGAAAAAGTATATAACATTTATATAACATATATATAAACTTATTTATGCATTTCTAAAAAAATATTTAATAAAAAAACAAAAATATCAAAACCGCTTGAAATTTTTATTAATTAATAAATAGTTTTTTTTTTAATTTTAAAATTTCTTTAAAATTAATTTAAAATTTATTGTAAAAATTTAAATACTTTTTTTCTTTAAAAATTTTGATATTCATATTAACTTTTAAAAAGTAGATTCTCTTTTTTAAAAATTTTTTTATTATTAATTTATTTAGTCCAAGTTCTATTTTTCTTTTCAATATTATTTATTTTAATTTTTTTCAAAATATTATTTTTTAAAAAAATACAGTTTAATATTTCATTCATTTTAATTTCAAAGTAAAATTAGTTAGAGATAACTCTTTAATACTTTTATTATATAAAAATAAAATTTTTAAGGTTTTATTAATTTTTATTGCAGTATTTTAAAGAAAAGCGTGACTTTGCAATTTCTTTAAATTTTTTTGTTTCTATTCTTTATAATTTTCCAAAAAAATAGTTTATTATTTATAGAGCTTTAATTATATTTTATATAGAATTATTAAAATTTTCAAGTTTTATAAAAATAATTAACACTGAAGAAAAGTTTTTTAACTAAAATAAAAATTACTTTAAATTTATAAATTTTATAATTTAGAATAAAATAAAATAGTTTTTCTTTAAAAAATTTTGATATATTAATTCAATAGAAAAGATCGGCTTTGTAGTTTATTTTAATTTTTTTGATAATTTTAGAAAAAAGTTTATAATTTTTATATTTATTTTATTATAATTTGTATTATATTATTAAAAATTTCAAATATATAATAATAATAATAATAATAATAATAATAAAATTTAAAAATAATTAAAAGTTATAATACTTTTTATTATAAAAAAAATTTTTTTTTTTATATTTAACACTAAATTTAATAAAACTTTAAAAAAAAGTTTTTACTATTTCATATTTTTTTTGATTTAGTAAAAATTAAGGTTTATTAAAAAAATAAAGATAAGTTTATAATAAAAGAATAAAAAAGTCAAAATTCCTAAAAATTGTGCATATTAATAAAATTTAAAAAAAACCTTTTTTAGTCAAAATTATTAAAAGTTTATATAAATTTAAAAAAGAATAAAAAGTTTTTTAGATAATAAAAGGAAAAAAAGTTTGAGAAATTTAAAATTAGTAAAGAATAATATAAGGTTAAAATTCTTTTAATTTATATAAGTTTTATAAGAAACCAAATGAATATCGTTCAAAATTACTATAAAAAAAATACAAGCTTATTAATTAATAAAGGAAAGCTTTAAAAAATTTAAAATCTGTTATTAATAAATAAAAGTTTAAAACTTTTTTAAAAGAATATTAAAGTTTTATTAAAATATTTTATAAAATTTTTTTAAAGTATTAAAATTTTAATATCCGTTCGATTAAAAATAAATAAAAGTTTATTTAATAATAAAAAGAAGTTTAAAGCTTTTCTAATTATATATAAAAGATTTTATAATATTAAATACAATTTTTGTTTATAGTTTTTGTATTTGAAAATTCATCAAGAATATTATAAAAAAAATAAAAGTTTATTAAATAATAATAAAATTTAAAACATTAATTAATAATAAAGAGAAGTTTAAAACTTTTTCATTATAAATATAAAAAGTATTGGAAATATTTATAAAGAGTTTATAAATTTTTCGTTTATAATCATCGAAAGTTTTCAAAATCTGTTAGAAGTTTAAAAGGTTTTCATATAAAAAGAAACAAAAGTTTATTATATTTATCATTAAAAAACTTATATGAAAAATCGTGTTTAGAATTATTAAAAGTTTATAATATTCCATATAATATATATAAAGACGCAGTAATAAATATAAATTAACTCAAAAATATATACTATCCAAAAACTTTTAAAAATTAAAAAAAGTTTGGATTATAAAAGTTCTTATATAAAAGTAAAGTTCATTAATATTTATATAAAAATATATTAAAAGGCAGTAAAATAATAAAAATTTAAAGTATATACTTCACTCAAAAGTTGGCACAAAACTCTCTTATACACTCCAGTCGTATCGTTTATCGTATCTAATAATAATAAAAATCATCAGTAAAAGTTTATAAATAACAAAAAAAAACTTAAAAAAAAATCAAAAACAATAAATATTATAAGAAAGAGTTCAAAAATAGAAGAATATTAAAAATAAATAGAAAAATGAATAAAAATAGTATTTAATAAAAGTAAAAACAACAGAAATAAAAAGTATACGTTTTTAAAAAAATTAAAAAAGCATATAAAAATAAAAAATATAAAATACATAAATAATATTAAGAATATTATTAATATTAAGGAATTTAAGAAATACATAATAAGTATAAAAAAATTATAAGTAAAAGGGAAATATATTAAAGAAGGTAAAAGAAATCCAAACAAAAAATGGATATTAAATAGTAATAAATAAATAAAAAAATAAAAATCATCAACAAATAAATTACAAAAAATTATAAAATAAACAAAACATAAATATAGTGAAAACTGAAAATAGAAAATAATAAAATAATAAAAAGTAAAAGTAAAAGTACAAATACAATAAAATAAAAAAACAATAATAAGCATTAAAAATAAAAGTACAAACAAATTAAAATAAAATAAGGAAAATAGAAAAAAAATAAACATAAAAGTAAAAGTACAAATAAGAAAAAGAAAGAAACAAAATAATATTAAATATATAGAAAAAAAATTTACAATAGAAGAAAAAGTACTAATGAAAAGTAATAAAAAATTGTTAAATAATAATAATTAAACAATATTATATAATATTTCAAACTATGTAAAGTGGTAATTAATGAAAAATACATAAATAATATTTAAAAAAAAATAATAAAAATTTCTTTTAAGAATTAATAAGCAATAATAATAGAATATTTAAAAAGGATATAAAAAATTAATAAAAAACAAAAAAAATATAAAATTTAATCATAATAGATATAATTTCTTTTCAAGAATTAATAAACAACAACAATAAAATATTATCAAATAATAAAAAATATTAAAATATAATATTTAATAATAATAATAATTACTTTTCAAGAAATAATAATCGATAATAATAAAATATTTATAAATAATATGAACTCAATTAATAAAAATATAAAATATTAACAATAAAATTGATTCTCGAATATTTTTTTTAAAACAATAACATTTGAAAATAAAAAAACAATTAATAAAAATTATAAAAATAAAAACTTTAATAATTATGATAATAAACTTTTTAAGAAATTACAAAAATATAATATTTTATAATATTAGTAATAATTACTTTTAAAGAATTGATAAACAGTCATAAAATAATATTTATAAGGAATATAAAAAACAAAATAAAAAAAATACATATTATATATATAATAATATAAAATATGTACTTTTAAAATTCAATAAAAATATTAATACTATTAAAAAATTAGTAGAATTTTATTGTAATATTATATATAATTACTTTTTAAGTTATTAATAAATATAAATACTATAATATAAAATTGCCAATAATAATGTAGAAATGCAAACAATTAATAAAAAAATATAAAATATAAATTTACTTAAAATTTTTAAGCAAAACTAAAAGGCACATAATATTAAGCATTAAATAAAAAATAATATAATAAAAATTTCTTTTATGATTAAAAAAATTATTAAAAAGTAAATAATAAAAAATATAAAATATAAATGTTACTTGAATTAAATAAAATAAAATAAAATTATAAAAATAGACTAAGAAAATATAAAAAATAATTTAAAAATTAAAAATTTACTTTGATAAATTATTACAAAAAATATTCATAAAACAATAATAAAATATAATTGAAAAAAAAGTTAATACTAAATATTTTATTAAGATAAATAACTAAAAAATTTAAAGTTATAAAACCAAATAAGGAATGAATTTATTATAAAACTTTATATATAAAAAATAGATACAATGTGTTAAAAGTAAAAAGTTATAAGTAAAAGTATAATAAAAAATAAAAAAAAAATCAATAAACGTAACTAAGATACAAACTAATAATAGTGAATTACGAAATCTCCAAAATTCTCCACCAACCAAATTACATACTCAAGACACGCAAAAAAAAAAGTGTTTCAAGCAATTTTAATACAATCAAATAAAAAAAATCTTCAATGAGACGAAAAAAATAGTGAAAAAAAATTATAGCTCAAAAAAGTTTAGCAGTAGTTTTAATATTTCCCAATCACAGTTTTTATTATAAATGTGTCAAATTTCCACCAATAGCCTAACGCATATTGTATGAATTTTTTTTGGTTAGAGTAAAAAAAATTATAATTTTGTTATAAATTTATATTTTTAATAAATAATAATATACGAGCCTCGCGAAACAGCGAAAGCGTCTATTTCGTCTAAAAATATGCAACACGGCCGAACCGCTCGAGCCTGCCAAAACAAATCTTTAACTGCAGCTTCACTTTCCCCAACATATTTGCTGAACAAATCAGAACTAACGAGAATGAGTAGTATGTAATATGTATACATATATATATAATAATAGTGATAGCAATAATAATAATAATGATTACCATTTAAGGCTAAAAATCGGAATGGAATATTTTTTTAAAATTGCTTTGGCTAATGTGGTCTTTCCACAGCCTGACGGCCCAATCAAAAGAAGTCCCAAAGACGGCTTGATGCCCTATAAAATACGTTTTTCAGAAGGTAAGCAGCAATCAATAAATAAAATTATAAATCAAAATACTATATATATATAAATTAAATGAAAAAAGCTTTTTATTAAGCCTAATAATTGGCTTAATTTATTTTGTAAACTATTTTTATGAAATTAAAAATATGCATTCGATTTTATTAAATTTCTACTTTAAAGAGCATTAAATATATTATATACAAACTACAACAATACTATTGACCGCTTTCAAAATTTTCTGTTTTTTTATTAGCCACTCTTTTAAGATATTTTTTGCCGTCATGCACAAACTGTAATGATATTAACGGTTTATAATAGCGACTCGAATATATAAAAAAGTACTATAAATGCTTGTAAAATAGTGAAGAATAACCCTTTCAAAAGAACCTCTTTCCATTAATCAGCCAATAAAATAACATTCTACTTAAAACAGTACTAAAAGCAATAAGAAAAAGTTTACACCAATTTTTGAAACATTGTATTGTTTAAAAGCGGCCATATAAGAGATTCCGTCAATGATTGTATCACGTGCTCGTATCTACCAAAATATTCAGTAAAAACCATGAAAAAGTTTATATATGATGTCGACCAATAAAAAATTATTAAAGAAACCCTCCAAGTTCTTCAAGATTCTTAAAGTTTTCATGCTTTTCAAGATATTTAGTGTCCAAAGAGAACTCCTTCAGCCCCAAATCACTAAAATATAAGGAAAAATTACGCATAAAAAAAAGTAAATAATATAGAGAAACTTAATCTATACACTATTATTTTAAACTATATTAGAGGCAGTAAATAAATTTTAAAATCCAGTAAAAGTGAGAATTTTTTTAATTTAAAACGTATATAAAATGTCAACAGAAAAAATGCAAACATCAAGTGGGAAATAAATATAATGGGAGGCATAAAATAACCGAATGTATAAAATTATATTTTAATACAAAGAAATAATCACAATAAATATTGAATCAAGTTTTGTTGGGTCAACTACTTATGCAATGAATATATTTAAATAAAATTCCTTTTACAATACATATTTTATATCAACAAATATTTTCTTTATATATCATTTAAAAATATTCAGTTATAATCGGCTAAACTATAAAAGGAGTTCCATTAATATGTAAAAAATATTGTTGAGGTAACAATTGCGCAAAAAAATGCATTAAATAAAAATTTGATAGTTTGCTTGCAATAAAAATAGTGCAACAATTATTTCATGTACATAAAAAGTAATAATATATATATATTGTTGGGGTTCACGTGCATATAAATAACAAATTCATCATTAAAAATGCAGTTTGCTGGGAAAATGAAATGCAAACGTTCATAATTTTAATTGTTGGAGTAAACATGTGGATTTATAAATATTCACTCCCCCCCCCCCAAAAAAAAAAAAACTATTTTGAGTTAAATGTATTATCCACTAATAACTGAACTTAATATATATAAAAAATTAAAATCATACTCTAAAAAACGAAATAATTAAAAAAAAAAATCTGTTAAGCAATAGCGAATCAAAGTACAAAACGAAATGTTGACATAAAAAAAAGTATACATTAAAAAAATCATAAAAAATATATATAAATTTAATAATAAAAAGATCCACTATAATTCAAGCTCGCTATAAGTTGGGTGCAAGACCCGCAGGGCAGTAGAACAACGAAAAAGGCGGTATAAATCACGAGGCGAAAATCCAATAGTTTTCTAATTTATAGAAAATTCAGAAAGATAATGAAATGGCCAACAAACATGCATTCAAAAAAAATTAACAATTAAGGCTTTTTACTCTATAATTATAATTAATATCTATATTTAAATAAAAAAGTATAGAATCAAATTTCTTTAAAAAGTGAAAAGTAAGCCTCTTAATGAATACCAACTAAAAACAATAATTAATAGTATCATTAATAATATTATTAATGAACAAAGAGACTTTCGATAAAAACTCGGAAGCATCAGAACTTATACCGAATTCCAAGCAAATTCTCCTTCTATCTTCGCTGTTTGTATAAAGTTCAAAAAAAATAAATATTAATATTATTATTATAATAAAAAAAATATTTTAATGACAAAAAATATAATAACATAAAAATTAATAAATATTCCTAAATTGTGTTAATAATACAAATATGTTAATATAATTCATTATTTTATGATTTCAAAATGCTTATAACTTTAACTTTTCATAAAAATTATAAAAATATGTTTAAATTTATAAGTGACCAATAAAAAATAATATACATTTCTAAATACGGCAGAGCAAAAGTGTGCGTGAAAAGGGAAGATAAAAAGGGCGGTAAAGTTTTTGAGGAAATACCCAACAATACAAACCGCGAAATTCTTTCGGCCAATAATGATTCAAGTTCCATCATTATTTTTTTTCCTACAGCGCTTGAATTTCCGGAATCTTAAAGAAAATTTTTTTTAATAAAGAATTTTATAAAAAAATAAAGTAAAATTGTGGATTTGTTATTTTATGATTATAAATAATTATAAAAAATAAAAAAATGAAAATAATAAAAATAGAATTTTAAAAATATTAATATAAATAGAAATAAAAAGAAAATGATATTTATAATAATAAATATTATGAAAAAAAAAATTTTTAATATATATTAAAAGGATTATTTATTTTTTAGTAATTAAAAAAAAATAAACTAGTAAATAAATACAAAGTGTATTATTTACAATGATATATTTTTTATTTATATAAAAACTAAAATAATAACAAGTAAAAAAATTTAGTGAATAATAAATGATGCACACGAAAACAAAAAAAAAAATAAGGAACATACTTTTAAAAGTTATTTAAATAATTATGTAATAAATGGAGGCAAAAATATTTTTTCGCTGAAAAAGTAAAAAAGCAACCAATAAAAAAGAGAATAAAATAAAAGGAACCGATAAAATATTGAAAAATAATAAAATTATACAAAGATTTACCATTCAAAAATGAGAAAAAACTTCTTAACCAAAAAAAATAAATATAGAGCGCATAAATTTTTTATTCAATAATCCAAAAAAAAAATAATAAAAAACAATAAATATCCCAAGTCATCTTCGAATAAAAACAATAATAAATACTCCCTAGCATTATCATTAAAAAAATGAAAATTATTCATTTTAAAATAATAATTAAATATGATATAATGAAATTATGGGAATACATATAAAAGAATTTATAATAAATATTATCAAAATAATAATTAAACTATAAAAAACCGACGTATACAAAAAAAATTACTTTACAAATAAAATGGAAAAATCACAAATTTTAAAAAAATTAATGGAAATTTCTCAATCACTCAGGGTAAAGCAGTCAACTGCGCAACCGATAGTATAAAAATAAAGTAAAATCATAAGCCCCACAACCAATAAAAAATAGCTTTAAAAAATATTCAAGGAAAATAAGTGAACTCAATAACCAATAAAAAGACATTAAAAAGCTCGAGTGCACCAGAAAAGTATTTACAATGAAATATTTATCTTAATCAATAAAGCAAATAAAATTGAGTTAAAATATTAAAAGTATATATAAAATATTCAGCAACCAATATATAAAGACTCAGAAAATGCTATAAGCACCACAATAATTGATATAAACTTGCACAAACTTAATATTATTTATAAAATATATAAGATTCATTATTTTTACAAAAATACATAACATTTTAGAAGTAACGCGATAAGCCAATATAAAAAGGTTGAAATTTTTTATAAACAATTGAAAAAGTATAAAACTGATTGGTTGGAAAAAATTAATAGTCAATAAATTAAATATATTTCATGTTATTATAAAATTTAAAAAATCTTCAAGTAAAAAAAAAAATTAAACTTTAAAGTCAATTAATAAAAAGTGAATATCCTTAGAATTAATAATAGTAAAAAAAATAAGAAGTTATTTATAAAAATATATATTTATTAATAAAGGAAGAGACGTTTATTAATACGAAAATATAAAAATAACAAATGCGAATAAAAATTCTCAATAAACAATATAATTAAGTACTAATCCAGATAAAAAAACTACAAAAAAATGAAGACTAATAATAAAAAACGAATTATGTGGGGTAACCAATAAAAAAGTGTTAATATAGTACCGCTCAAACACTCCAAATTGTCGATAACAAGAAGTGTATTTTTAAAGTTTTTAATATCTTCCACTATTTTTTTCAAAAGTGGAAGTCCTTAAATATGTATAGCTTTAATAATAACAATAACTTTCAAAAATTTAAAATAAAAGTAGATCATTGGTTTAGAATTTCCTTCCATTTATTGTCAAATTTATATAGTTTATATATTTCTTTAAAGATAAGTATAAATTTTATATAAATTAATATATTAATAAGTAAAAATTATTTTTATAATAAAAGTTTTTATATAGTAAACGTAAAAAAGCACGTGCCACTATCGCACGCTTCTGCAAGCAAAAAACGTTCACAACGGATATGAAGGAGGCGCAAATTAAAAGGTTCGAGTAGGTCACAAGCAACTCTAAAGCATTATCATTTGTTATTATTATTATTTAATACTTTTTTTATATATAATTAATACGTATTCACTATAAACTATCGTAATTATTTTATACTTTTTCATATTATTATTACTATACTTTATTATAATATATAACTATAACATAAATTGATTTTAATCAATTTTTATATTAATAAAAATTATTGTTATAATTATTTACTTTACGAGAAAAGTCTTTCCACTTCCTGAAGCGCCTTCCAATAAAATACCCCCGATATTAAATATATTTCCTAATAAAGCAGAAGCTATAATAATATTAATAATAATAAATAGGAATAGTTTTATTATTTAACAATTCTTACCAAGAAATAATAAAAAAGTTTCAAAATCTAAAAAAATTATTTTAATATTGAGAAATAATAATTCAAAAAGTTAACGAAGTTTCCATTATCAAAGCGTAAAAAAAATTAGAAAATAAAATAATAGTAAATTAAGATATGAAAACTTTTTTGTTAAGTAAAAGTTACAATTAAAAATAGTGTCCAAAGTAATAATAAATTTATATCTATAAAAAAGTCTGTATATTTTTTTAATGAATATTAAATCTTTTCTATAAAGAAAGTTTGCAAAAATTTTTTAATGAATATTAACTTCATTTTACAAAAAAAGTTTGTATATTTTTTATGAAAATAAACACCATTACTATAAAAAAGTTTGTAAACTTTTATTACTAATATTTACTTTTTATTTTTAATGAAAAAATATTTAAATTTACTTTTTAAAAAAATTCTTATACACTTTTGTTTATTACAAAGTAACGATCATAACTTTATTATTTCACGAAACTTTTTAATAATAATATATAAATTTAAAATTTGTATAAATAAATAATATACTTATTAGATTCTTCAAATCAAGCAAAAGTTTGTGATCTCTGAAAAAATGAATTTTTTTACTGGAATCTTCACTAAAGAAAAAAGTATATTTCTTGTTAAAAGTAAAGGAGTAGAAGAGGATGTCGATAATATTTTAAGCGTAATGGTTTTTCCAAATTTATAATAATGGAGAGGAAGAAATGATCCAGTCGAAATCTAGAAGTTGAAATTTAATAATAAAAAATAAATTAAGTTTAATAAAATTTGTATTAAATAAATTTTTCAATAAAAATTCTTTCCTTAAACAAATTTTTTAGGGCTAGATTAAAAAATTTTACATAACTGAATCTTTTTTTAAAAGAAGATACAATTTATAGTGTAGATCTAGTAAGTTTTAAATTTAATTCTCATTCAAATGAAAGTTATTTAAATTTACTTTTATAATATTTTACGGTTTCAATTTCAAAGTTAATAATTTTTTTAATAAACTGCAAAAAAATTAATTTTATTAATAAATTTAGATTTTAAAAAAAAAGTTATAGAGTTGATGTAAATTTGATTTGTTTAATTTATAGGTTAATATTAAAATTTACTAGTAATTAATTTACTTTTTTTTTTAATTTTCTAAAATTAACTGTTTCTTTAAAAAACTTTTTTTTAATAAGTCATATAAATGAATAGATTTATATTTTTAAAAAAAACTATTAATAACAAATAATCGTAGATATATAATTTTACTTTGAATATAATAGTAATAATTTATAGATTTGCTTTTTAATAAAAATTAAATTTTATTTTTTTAATTTATAAAAAAAAGTTGTACAATTTAAAATAAATATATTAATAATTAGAATACTATTAATCGGGATCAATTAAATGCAAAGTTACAAATTTCTATATAAAAGTTTTATTGTACGGCGGTAAACTAGCAAAAACTCAATGTTTGTTATAAATTCAAAAAGGTAAAATGATTTAAATCAATTATACAAATAATTTAAATTAATTTTCTGGTAACTTTTAGAAAATTTTAAAAATATTCTAAACAATTCAAAAAATGTCACGATACTTTTTCGTTCTCTAATAAGTTGTTCTTTCTTTTTAGTTTTTAAATTCATAATTTATTATATTATAAAAACTAAAATCACGTAACACTTCTTAACTTTTACAAATTTTTAACAATACTTATTAAATTAAACCTTATAATTTTTAAAAAATTATAATTTTTCAAAAAACTTATAAATCTAAAATCGTGAATAAATTAGCTTTTTGTCAAAATTAAAATTTTAAATTTCATTTTTTTAAAAACATAAAGTAAATTAGATCAGATTTTATTAGTAAAAAAAGTTTAAATAATTCTTATTATAAATGAATAGAAGGATAACGCAAGCAAACATTACTAACGAAGTTAATCTTAAATAATAATAATACAGATAATATTTAAGTTTATGTATAAAATATTATTAAAATTTAAAAACTATGTAAAATAAAAATAATTTATATTATAAAAAATAAAAATAAAATTATAGGAATTTAATAAAAAGTTATAAACCAGTGCGGAATTTAAAACAAGAGAGTGATTCTTTATATCGTTAAGTTCATCTTCATGAATAGGGAAAAGTTTAAAATTTTCATCATCTGCTGAGGGCTCTTGTATTAAAGATACTTCAACTTTATTATTTTCTTTCTGAATTTCCAGATTTTCAAAATTACATAAATTCTCTATTTGATTTTGATCTAAAGGCTGCAAATCAATTCCCAAGCCGGCAGTCATTTTTTCTAACCAAGATGATAAGATAATCTCTTCCTTATCAAGATCCATCGGTTGGCAAGTAACATAAGTCTTTTTAAATTTATAAATTTATATTTAATAAAACAAAAAAAGCTACAATTATATAAAAAAGTATATTTTGTGTAAAAATAAAAATTTATTATTTATATACACCTTTAAAACTATACAAAGAAAATATAAAAATATAAGTATGACAGTTATCTTATATTATTTAACGTGTGGATTTTTATATGATTAATTTAAATTTATTGTGTAGAACAAATATAATAGTTCTGTTAAATTTAAGATATTTCTATGCTTTAATAATAATAATAATAATTTATTTTTTTTAAAAAAAAAAAATAAATTTATAAATAATGTTACTGAAATCAAATAATTTTCTTTAATGTATAAATAATTTGTAACCAAAAATTAAGTAATACCATAAAATGTACTTCGTTTTTATTTTTCTCATGAAAGCCACGCAATAAAGCATAAACAAGAAAACCGAGATTCCATTCTCTTAAAGTGCTAAGTGGGACACCCACACTCTTAAAGTCATAAGTTTTTAGTCAAACAAAAGGACTATGAATTTTCAAAAGTACAGTTGTAAAAAAATTAAACTTCCAAATTCTTAAAAGATTAAAAAGTTTTTAGTTACAAATTATATAATAATTACTTAGATATAAAAACTATTATAGCAATGGCACTCCCACAACATTAAAATTTAAGTTTTCAGTAAAACTTAATGAATTAATTTTTTAAGTTAATAAAAAAAAAACCATTATAGTAATAAAACTCACCATTCCTATATATTTTAAATTTTCTAGGCAAAAAACTATTATAGTCAGAACTCACAGTTCTTTAAGTTAAAAAGTTTTTGTCAAAGTATATGATTTTATATTTAAATATAAAATAAGAACTAGTTACTCTAACATCCTAAAAGTTATAAAGTTTTAGTCACATCAAAAAATTATAATTTTAAATAAAAATAAAAACTAATATAGAAAAGAAATTGCCACATTCTTAAAGTTTACGGTTTTTAGTCGAACATTGAAATCTATTTTTAAAATAAAAATAAAAACTAATACAGCAAGAGAACTTACACTTTTCAAAGTTTATAGTTTTAATTAAACAATATACTTTCTTTTTAAAGTTAAAAATGAAAAATATAGCAAGAGAACCCCAACTTATTATAAGTTAAAGTTTTTGGTCAAAATTTATATACTATTATATAATTAAAAATAAAAACTAATACAGCAAAGAACTCTCAATTCTTCAAAGTTTTAAAGTTGTAATGAAAAAACATAATAATTTAAATTTTAAATTAAAAATAACTCTAATATAGCAGTAACCAAATCAAACAAGTCGTTCATTGATATTATTTGAATAATGTATGCCTTTTGTAAAATTATACAAGCGAGTTTATAAGCGCAACCGAAAATAATTTTGTTTACGAACTTGAAGGCCTCATAAGTGAGCTCGCTCGGTCACTACCTTTGTATATAATTTTATTAAACCTACACTGAAGCGAGAATGTTTTACTTACATACGCAACGCAAACTGCTTGAGTAAAAGGTGATATTTTTATTTTTATTTTTTTTAAATAAATTAAGTTTTTTATTTAAGTTATGATGCTGTAATAGAAAGTTTGAACTATAAATTTTGCTTTGTTTGTATTTGCAAATTCAAGTGTTTCGTTTGAGTAATTTATTTAGAAATATTTTTTTTTGTTACTTTCAAAAATATTGTATGGCAGGGATCAGCGATTTAAAAGCACCACAAATTTTCTATTCTAATGTGACTTAATACCGCCAAAAAATTGTGCTTAAGAAAAAGACGGAAAAAAAAAGTAAGAACACTATAAAATATAAGCTAAAAGAAAAAAATCGGTCCAGGTGAAAATGTGGTATCTTTTAATAATTATAATAAGAACAGGACACCCATTATGACAACTTTCAAACATAAAATCCTCCAAAAAAAATTTATTAAAAGAGCATTATTAATTACCTTTACAAGCACTGACTTTAAACGGTAACCTTTTACATTTAGATTATTTGCTTAAC